CAAAACCTGACTTCTAATCTCTGTCTATCTAAACTGGGAAACCTACTTCTACAACCACATGACTACAAGCAGTACAAGTCAGGACTCAAACTGTTCTCCAAGAAGCCAGACAGAGAGTGAGAGGGAGAGAGAGTAAAGTACAGAATTCTGCCCAGGATATTCTTCCTGAAACAGAATCTTGTCTTTTCGAACCCATTGTTTTTTTTGTCTGATCAACAAATTAGACATTTGGAGTTTCTTTTTGTTGACTAGAGGTATATTCTGAACAAAAGCTATAGCTGGAACAAACCGAGTCCCCCCTTGTCCCTGTGGCTGGACCTCAAGAAGACAAACTGTGTCCAGACTCTTTTTAAAGACCAAAGTCAACAAGATGCTACTTTGGCAGAATGGCCTGAGACGCAATACAAGGAGCTAGACAACTGCCAGGCAAAATCTCTTTCTCTCTCTCCTCTGTTTGCATCAAAATCCTCCCAGCACAGAGAAACTGTCACAGACAAATCCAGCCCAGCTCTGTTTACCAGTGCAAACTCATCAAAGACCTTTGGAAAATGGATCTTTGAATATAAATCTTCATTTTGAACAATCAGCTTTCGTATCGCAGCAGATCATTTCACAAATATATTATCTTTGTTGTTTGTCATGCATGTTTTGGTTATATCACTAAATTGTATATTGTATATCTAGAATCTCTGTGTGAGACTTAAAATATTATGTTTGATTGGTTTCTAAAAGTTGTCAAGCACTCTCACAATTTCCTGTTACAATTTCTGATTGTTACAGCAAACTTAATCCCCTATCTCCTATACTGCTGAGCATAAAAACAACAGGGATTTGTTACTTGAAGACATTAACTGGGATTTTAAATGGTGGTTGACTGGACTAAAATCCTGGTCTGCTTGTTAACACTTGGTTCACAGTACAGTATACAGTTTATGAAATTCTCAGATATATTATAATGATGTATCCATATTTTAAGCTACCAAAAACAAATAATACTGCAAAAACATACAATTAAAAAAGTGCCATGGTTGCATTTTTACTATGTGTACTGTTATTCCAATTCATTTATTTCTGTTGTTTTTAATTCTGTAAAGAAAGAAGTGATTACCTGAACTCAACACTAGTCACTGTTACCCTCTCCTGCTTAGGTTAATAGTAAAATGTAGCCAAGGAACCTGCGGATTAACCTTGTGCTTTCACACTGATGCACAGTACAAACTGGTACAAATTGTTTGGAAACACTATAAGGACATTAGTTCTGTTTAATTATCATTTAAATAATGTAAAGTCATTGTAGCATTGCTGCATATCTGTGGTGTTAAAGTCTTGGTATGGAACCTGCATGGCAACATTTCAATCTCCTTACAAAATAACAAACCACTTACATTTCCTGGGAAGCCAAATGAAGCATCACTTTGAAAGAATTCTTAGCTGTCAGAGATGAACCAGGCAGAAATGCTGAATACCATAAATAAGGCTTTATAAATGAAGATTTACTTTTGGAACACTTTAAAGTATGTAGCCTAGCAGATGGATAACTAAATCTAAAGTCAGCAAGGAAACTGTGACCACTAAATAAATCAAAATCAAATCTATCACATTTCTTGTGTTGAAAATCAAGAAGAAAATGTCATTTTCTCAGATTAAAGTAAACTTTTTGTCTGGCTGATCCTTTCCAGACCAAGGTGGGAACAGCCACAGTGAAAGGCATTCCAAAAAAAAAAAAACCTGGCTCATTAATCTTAAATTTCATGTACACCCCATGCCAAACATTTGCAGCCATGAGGGTAATATTGAACAGAGAACAGAGGGAGTCATAATTTGTAGCTGTCATGCTAAAATGTCCTTTTCAAATTGTTTCAAATTGAGTCAAATTGTTTTAAAACAGAACGTAAAAATATCTTCTTACAACTGTAGTAAGAAACAGGTCCAAAAAGAATCAGCATTAAATAGGTATCCTGATATTTCACTGACTGTTGTTTTCTTTTAAGGGAAAAGGATAACCTTTAGGATCCGTTCATATGATTGATGGATTGAATAAAAATGTATGCGATTATGACAAGTTGGTTAATCCTTTATGATTGTTGCCCTTGTAGACAAAGAAGATTTGTGAGGAAGAAAACCTCTGGGTTTTTGGTTTCTAGATAGATGTTTTCTGTTGTCTAATTGTTGGCTCCACTTATCACCAGAATTACTGGTGGAACTTCACCTTTTGAAAAGTGGGTTATATGATGGTATTGGCAAGATGGAATAAAAACATGAACCAGGAGGAGAAATATCTTTCTCACCAGGAAAGTGTCACACCAGGAGAAATAAATCAGTGTGGCAATTTTCTTTGAGCTTGAGCAGTCATCTCAGCAGACACCCTTTAAAGTACTAAGAAAAGTTCAATGCTATACATACATATACAACGTAATACACTCATGTGTACAACTGGACACACTCTTATAGATGCCGATATAGATTTATAGTATGTTAAAATAATACTCAACTGTAGTTACTTTAGTCACATTATTGGATGAAAATGAACAATAGTGAAAACAGAATTGTAAACACTAAACACTTTCATCAAGATAGATATTGTACTATGTCAGATTGTGGTTTTGTAGTTGTAAAATGTAAATGAAGCAATGAAGAAATTAAAAAGCTTCATGATGATTTTTTCTCTTTTACTTTCATATGTTTTTATCATATGTTTTTAGATCACGTTTCAACACAGTTCTGGTGAACTACAGGAGCAAAGAGGAAGTTGTGTTTCCTAATTGTCATAATAGCAACACAAATTACCATGTGTTGGACTGAAGACGCACTGTAGGAAGCTGTGCAAACTTGACTGAGTGACTGTGCCACAGTTTAAGGAGCATGTAACAAAGTAGAAATGTTTTACATCCAGAGAAATATAATTGCAGGGGGTAAAAAAAAGGCGGAAAAAATCTGTCTCATTTCACTGCAGAAAACAGGAAAGAGACCTCTTGTATTGATTTTTAAACCTAAAAAATGACTCAAAGCTTTCAGTCACACATTCTCTTTTAAGGAAAGAAACAATAGATTTGCCTTTAGCACATAATGGTCTACCAGGGAATTAGCAACCAACTGCTCATATTTCCACAATTCTGTACACTGCAATTGGACCTTACAAATACCCCAAATAAACTGGTAAAACAAGTTTTAGGTTTCATTGTCCAGAGAAAACCTGAATCCATGCTTTTTCACATAGAAGTAATAAAGAAAACAACCTTTACACATAGCATCAAACACACAGTGACAAGATCAATAGGAGCTGAATTTGGAAAACCCAGGTAGAGGCAGGAACATTACCAGATTAACGAGACAATATAATCACTTCCTGGTTCTGTATTTTATATTGTTTGCTCTTGACTGGGTTGGAAAATGAGGCTAAGAATTTCTATGGAACTTGAAAGGAGATTATGCTTTAAATAATTAATTATGGTCAAAACGCTGTACACATCACATCTCATTCCACAGCTTTTACTTTTTTCTTTGCTGAAGATGACCTCCAGTGCCATTGGCCTTGGGGGTATTTGGAATGCACTTAAATAATCCATCCATTGTTTATTCACTTTACTTATCATTGGATGTCATCTGGAGCAGTAGACAGCACAACATTCCCCATAAGGTTAAACCAGCTGACAAATGAAGTCTATACAAAATCAATTTCCGCATTATTTTAATTGTGTACATCTCATTTCTGAATTTGCTTAACATTGTTATGTTTGACTAGTAACAGACTACAGAATATTACACATATGCAAAACAAAATACAGTATGTCTTCCTTTACAATCTAATATTTGACTAACATTCCTGAGAAGAAGGTCTTTAATAGCATTTTTTCTCATTCCTACTAAAACATTTATTGTGAGGTAAAAATGCCCATAGTTAATTTTGACAAAACTCATAATAATTTTCATTTCTGACAAGAAGACACCTCAAATAGCATATTGACTATGTTCAGCTGGGTAGGGTGTGTAAGCAGCACAAGTCTTTCTAGCAAGTACCCCTGCCTTATCCCTGCTGCAAGCCATTCATCTTACTGTTGGCTCCACCATGCTGGTGGTCTAAACTCCAGTGAAGGTTTCAGTGCAGGCAGCAGTGTCCTCCCTGGTGGAGAAGGCCCTCTGACTGGACTGGCGACGGCGCAGAAGTCGGTGGGCCGCAGTCCTGTACTTCTTGGACATCAAGTTGTAGAGGATAGGGTTGATGGAGGCGCTGAGATAGAACAGCACCATGGAGACCATGTTAAAGTTCTGGCTGAGCTTGGCTGAGTAGTAATCATCCACATGTGTAAAGAGGTTCCTCCCAATGTGGAAAGGGAGCCAGCAAATTGCAAAAGCCAGGACCACAACAGCTGGAAAATCAAAAAATATAAAGTTGCTGTATTTTCATATACAGATATATCCATCCATTTTATAACTGCTTTATACAGAGTAGTTGGGGATCTGGGGCCTATCCAAGCAAGCAACAGGCCCAAGGCAGGATACACCCTGTATGGTACACTAGTCCATTGCATGGCACACACAGACACAAACACACACACTAACACCAGGGCCAATTTTCCCAGACAGCCAATTAACCTACCAGAATGTCTTTGGACTGGGGAAGAAAACTGGAGCACCTGGAGGAAACCCAACATAACACCGGGAGAACACACAAACTCCACACAGATAACACCCCAGGAATTTAACCCAGGGCCTCAGTACTGAATTGGTTATTGATTATTCCATTACAAGCCAATTCTTCTGAATCCTCAATAAAACCCAGCAGCAGCTCCAAGAAATTTGCATTAACTCTAGAAAATCTTTTATGTACACATTGAAGTTTCAAAGTGAGGAATTGATCAAAGGGAGGAAGAGAAACTTAGATATGTCAAAAATAATTTTGAGGCTGATCAAATGCTTTCAACAGAAGTGATGAACGCTTAATGTATGTTCTTCACATTAGCTTATTGCTACTTTATGTGAATAGAAAGTTGTGCATATTAACAATGCCTTTTATGTATACACACATATCCATTCATACATTTCAAGATTAACTGCTAGGCACAGAGAAAAAACATCCTCTAAACATAAATACAAGAGGGGCGGAGTGGTGGCTCTGTGGCTAAGGTTCTGCGCCCGTGGCTGGAAGGTTGCTGGTCCAAATTCCACAGCCGGCAGAGGAATCCTACTCTCTTGGGCCCCTGAGCAAGGCCCTTAATCCCAGCTTTCCCAGGGGTGCCGTATAAATGGCTGACCCTGCACTCTGACCCCAAGCTTCTCTCTCCCCATCTGTGTGCCTGTGAGTCTCATAAGGAGCAAGCTATACCTATGTGAAAAGACAAATTCCTAATGCAAGAAATTATACATGGCCAATAAAGTGATCTCTTAAGAGAGGCATCAGAGTGATGAGACACACAATCAATGGCACATGTGAATGTTTAACCAACTGAGGGAAATAAAACCTCACTATGATCTACAAACTTACTGTAAATGTTGAACAAACAGAGAAACAAAAATAGAAATATAAGAGATTGAAAAAAGGCTTATAGGTAAAACAAACATTATAAAACATCTGGCACAATAAAAGAATGACTGATCCTACATGATGAAAGCAACTGATGACAAAGCAATAAACTATTTGTCTTGCTTTTATGTTCTTCTAGTTGTCACACTTTGCATTTACAATGTCTTCTAAGTATCTGGCTATTCTGCTAAGAAAATCTTGACTTATTGCTTGGCTAAAACTACAAAGAAAAAAAATACAATCAGTATTTGCTTTCAGATTAATTAGTGGGCTGTTTACTTGGTCTGACACTAGTTCTAGAAATATCAGCAGAAGTTGTTAGAAAAATAATGTTAAAATGCTTCTTTCAATGTGAAAATGAGATCGAAAAAAAATCACCTTGCAAAAACTGTTGTTTATTTCACTTGGTTAATCTGAATTCTTTAAAAACGCAGAACAGATAGTTCAGTGCACAGATTGACATTTCCATACAATTTTACAATTGATGAAGCAGTCTTGAGGATAGATAAAAGCTGATTTATGGCACTTCAAATTTGTGATAAACTATTATCTGTATTAGAGACAAACATCTCAATTCTAGCAGAACTTTCTGTTTTTCTAAGTTATTGTAATGAACAGATAAAGAAATATATTGTAACAACGACTATTTTTATTTTATTCTAGAGACTGCTGTACAAAAGGCCTGTTTACATCGTGTATATTGTGTATCTTATTATTTAACCTTTGATTTCTTTAATTTAAATCCCAAAAACAAAAACAGAAAGAAATAAACCAACAGAAGTTTCAGAACATTTGTGTTTTTCAGGATTGCTGTAAACAATGATGTGAAAAAACACTGGTTCACTAGAACACTATTTTTTTGCCCAGTTAGGACAATTAATTTTCTCTGCATGTTGTCTTTCTTAGTATCCGGGTCACAGATAAGTACAATAAAAAATGAAAAATAACTTAATCTGAGTCTTTAATGGGTCCTATATGCATCTAACAGATACATTTTAAATGCACTCTATCTGTGAGTTTTACATGAAACAGCTTTCAGTGATATGCTGTGTGTGTTTTTCCTAAGAGTAAGTGGTCACTATAAATTAAGGGAAAGGAAATGTTACATAGCTCTGGCTATTTTGCAGTTCTATGAATCAAAGTTGTCCGAACAGGTTTTTTATTCCAATTTGTGTTCTTGAAGTCAAATTCAGAACCCTCCTAAGTGCTCATTAGTGGAGCACAGTGGAAACATTAAAGACAGCTGTGCTTTTCAGTGCTGTGAAATGGTGAGAGGCAATTAATATTAATTCCTATTATTTATAGTGAATCCTTGTTCTTAAATAAAAAAAATATACAATTATTCTAAGCTTTCACTGGTTAGAGTTAGCTATGCTGATCTGATGATCCTAATAAGGACAGAACAGCTGTCCTTGAGGTCTCACTTTGTCTATATGTGATGGGGAATTAGAAATTAATTTAGACAGTTCAGATTTTCAGATTGCAAAAATAAGATATTATCTCAGAATTCAATATCATCAACAGGTTAGCACAGAACATGTGCTATGTTTTTATTATCAAAAGAGTATAACAATTAGGCTGTCCATTCACATATAGGAGCTGGTGAAGAGTGTGATAAAATAAACTCTATAGGCAAGACAAACCATGCAAGTTTTTTCGTGCAGGAAAAAATAGTTGTAATACATGACATTCTTTTATTTGCTTACTTCAGGAAGAGGGAAGAAGAAAAGTTATCTTTAAAAAAAAATGTTTTTCTGACCTTTATATGCTAACACAGTGCCAACATCAATAAAGTTCATGTGATGAAAGACAAAACCATTAAAAAATATTACAATTATGTTTTTCTTAATTTAAGCAGATTACTTAATTACTACTATTTACTGTAGAGCAACCCCACTTTGCACTGTGCAGAGACATGTTAAATACTGTCAACTCAAATTTCTTTTAAATTGACTCTGAAGAGCATGGGGAGTCAATTTGAGCTTTTGAAGACTCAGTCCAACCTCAACTTCAATTAACTTAACCTCTCTAAATTCCCCTGATTCCCAAGTCTGCAGCTCGTGAGGTTTTAAGTCACCAATATAATTTTTTTGTGTTGTGGCTCTCCAAATGGTCATAAATGACTGGACTGTGAAATGTGGTTGTAAACCAGTCAGAGCATCATAACTCACCCAGAATCTTGAGCGTTTGACGGTGAGTCCGTTCTCTGTTGGTGGCATTTGGTCCTTGGATGTCATTTCTGCTTTTCCACAGCTTCCTGCCGATAGAGCCATAGAGGAAGGTGAGGCAGAGCATGGGGAAGAAGAAATAGATAGTAGAGAGCCAGATCATGGTGTACAGGAGCCCTGAGCTGACGGCATAACTGGTGTACGTGCACTGCTGGGTGTTGTAGTCAGGGCTGGTGCTGTTCTCATACTCCACCCCATACATGAAGAGAACAGGAGTTGCAGAGAGCAGAGCGAAGGTCCAAAGGAACAGGATGATGTACTTCACCCGCCTCTTGGTCACCACCACCTTGGCTTTGAGAGGGAAACAGATGGCCAGGTATCTCTCGATGCTGAGCGCAGTGATGTGCAGAATGGTGGCGTAGGTGCACCCCTCATTGATGTAGTGGGACATGCGGCACACAACCTCCCCAAAGACCCAGGGGATGTACTTCCACAGGCGGTAGACATCAAAGGGAAGGCTGAGGAAGATAGCAAGGTCTGACACAGCCATGCTGGAGAGGTATAGGTTGGTGGTGGTCTTCATGTCCTTGTATCTCTGGATGATCAAGATGGTCATGGTGTTTCCTGTGACACCAACCAAGAAGAGGAAGATGAAGATGATGGTCACAGGGATGAGAGTGGAGACAGGGAACAAAGAGCCAGAGTCATGGTAGTTTTCCATAGTCTGAAGTCTGTCCAGAAAACTCCTTGGTTTTGCGTTCTCACATGTCAAAAAACTATTTGGGGGAACTACATGAGTGTATTCTTCCAGTGCACACTGTCAAGTCTCAGCTGGATGTTACTGTTACAGCTCTGGTGTCAGTCTCTACAAAGAAAGGCTGGACTTCCAAAGCCATTGTTTGACCTATACGAAATGTGTTTACAGGCTTCCAAGATTTCCACCTTCCTTTCTGGCTCACTTTCCCAAACTCTTATTACTTATTACTTATTGCTGCTGTTGTGATTTTCCAGATGAAAGACTCCAAGGTGGGAAGAAAAAAACAGTTTGAGTGGTGGAGAAACACTTCCAAGACAGGTCCTCATCATCTCAAAGAAAGAGCTTGATCCACATGTCCAGACGCTGGGGCGTTAAAAGTTGTTGTTGCAGTTAAACCTCTTCTGAAGCCAAGAAGCTCTGTAGCCTGGCTGCACTGCTCTGTACTGAGTCCATCATTGTCTCTGATCCTTTATCAAATACTGAGAGGGCTAGAGAAGGGAGGGGAGAGGGGGAGCGGTTCTGCAGCTGAACACTCATTCTGCAGGCTGCAAGGACTTTGTAAAGGATACCAAGCCTCTCTCTTCTGACGTTGGAAGTGAAGATTTACAGTTTTTCAAAAATAATTATCTTCCATTTCATGAAAAAGAAAAAGATGAACGGGAAGCAAAATGTATGTAATTAATTTTTTGAATTTACTAATTTAGTTTCAATCTGCAATTTAAACAAAAAGCAAATAATTCTTTGAAGAAATGTTTATTTCTTTGCAGAAAATAATCATGACTTTTCTTGTGTGTGGCATTTTGTATATAGTGTCATAAATGTATATATTGGAAATATAAGTATATATATATAACATTGGAAAAGTGATATATCCATTTATAAGTAATAAATGCTTCCTAAATTTTCTTTCGAACTTAAGCTTTATTCTATTTTTTTTTTATTTTCCCAGGCATGCTTTGGAAGTGATGAATTAAGAATCAATCTTCACATAGTAATCAAATCAAGCAATGAACAATTGTATTACCTATTTAAATAAATTAATTGATTAGTTGTGCCCAGCTCAAGTTGAATGAAAGACCTGATAAAAAGTCTTTCTGCATTTATTTGCTGTATCTGCTGTGTTTGTCTGTTGTGTAATCAGAGTATTTAATATCACAATAATCCTCTCACTTATTTCCATGTGTTCTCTTCTGGCTTGTGCTCCCCTCCTTCTTCTGACCATGACAAAACCTTGAATGAAACAGTTCAGCAAACTAATTTGAGCTACTGTTAACAATGCATCTAAAAACCTATTTAGCAACAATATATTCCACACCAAAAAAGATGTGGTTTGTGGTGGCAAATTAAAAACGTATTTGCAGGGTGACAATTCAAACCAAGTGCAACAAAGAAGCACATTCCAGTAAAACACAACCCCCAAAATGAGATTCAGTTTACATTAAGCAATTATCAACATATAAGATAAGGGAATTCTTAAGCTACATACTTGAATACCTACTGTACATCTTTTCCTTTGTTAGTAAACAATCCCCAAAGACACCCCCGTCTCCTGATTTGTATTGTATTAGACTGTATTCTCTTATGCACTGCAATGAGAACATTATTTTCTCTATCCTATTCATTGTGCACATTTATTGTGCTGTGGCATTGTCTGACACATGTCTGGCATGTCTTGCCAACTGAATTTGATTCTGGACTCAGGAACCTTGTGTATGGGGTTTGCATGTTCTCTCAGGGTTTTGTTTTCCTGCATGCCCTGTTTTCTTCCCATGCTCCAAAGACATACTAGCAATTATAGATCCATCAGCTTGTCTTCAATCTCTTCAGATTGCTGACATAGCCTTTATCTGGGATGCACTGCTTTGTACAGCTACAGCATGTTATTGAGTATAACTTATAAGGGCTTATGTTCACTTTTCTCAAGCCCCTACAGTTACTGTTAGTCTGGTTTTCTCTTTTAAGGTTGGTCTGCTGTTGTACTGTATGTAATTCTTCTCGGCACATTAAGTGTGTATGCAAGGAAGAGGATGGGTAAGTACCTCCTACAATTAAATTTGATTTATCTGCTTCCTTGAAGACCACAGGCCTATTCCTAATGAAGTTAACTGTAACATGGTGGCAGAGAATAATACTTGATTTCATTAGAGCACCACTTAAAGCAAATATTAAGCGCTGCTCCTGAAAATCCTTTTAATCTGGACAGTTATTGAATTGAAATATATTTTCAAAGATGCTAGAAGACCTAGATTTATAAAAGGCTCGGCATTCATTTAAATCTCCTCATCTGTGCTCACACAAGTTCTCACTAACAAGGCGATTTAGTACTTATGCAACCTGAATGAATGATGATTAGTCACAAATGACCAGTTAATCAAAATGAAGCCCAAATCATTTAATCAATATACAAAAAACATTTACTTTTCTAAAGGCATACATGCATAAGTTGAAAGCTCCACAGCTGAAACGTGTTTTTCTTCTCTTTTCAGCCATGAATAAACCTTTACTTGTTCCTTTGCAGCCTACACATGCTGACACAGCTACTGTACCTACTTAAGTTGTGTGATGTTTGTTTTGAGGCTCTGTAGGTTAAATACTGTATTAACAGAATTCAGTTTTGGGTTAGGATCCTGTCATGCTGATTTGAACTAAAAATTAATATTAATTTTATATGAATTACAGGTTACTAAACTTAACCTTACAGACTTTCTAAAAAAAACTTTTGAAGAATGTTACCCTTTTTTAGTCTTGGCATTTTTCAGTTTCATTTTAAACTGCAAAGGTCATTGCAAAGGTAATGGATGCTGTAAACATAACTAAAGTCCGGTCAAAATAAAATGATTGTCGGACCCCTTTGTTTCATTCTTCTTATTGTTCTGTGGTCAGAGCTGAACCCTCTCATCTCTGCCATTCTCTGGAGGAAAGCCCACTTTTCACCACCGCTGTAAGAAGGGATTGCGGACTTCAGTTAGACTTGGAGGTTTGCCGCGCTGTTCCCAGCAGGATTTGAACACAAACAGAGGACTGTTTATGTTGTACTATCATCTATCTTGGGACAATCCATGCTGCTTTCAGTCTAGGCGTGGTTTTGAGGCAATTCAACACATAATGAAAATGGCACAAGCAGTGTACTGCTGCTCACAGAGGACCTGATCTGTAGTATTTGTCTTGGGCAGTGAAAACTACCAGCCAACAACGCAAAGTCACGTCCATTGGAAGCATGAGTTCAGGTCTCTGCTTTTCTGACCGAGCGGCAGGGGTTGTGAGTTATCAGTGAGCAGCATTATTTGTTTTACTTTATTCATTTCCTGTATTTGTGTAGGAGCTCTTGTATATATACAGTAGTTCCATGTGTTTCTGTTGTGTTTCATGTTTAATTTTCTCTTACAATAAAAATAGGAGAATGCAAAAGGAAGCCTTGGTTTTCACGCTAAGATGCGCATTAGTCTGTGATAACATCCCCCAGGAAACCAATGCATAATCCAAAGATATGCAGATTCCTTATAAAATAGGAACAAGTAAAGGTTTATTCCATGCTGAAAAGAGAACAAAAGAAACATAACGTTTCAGCTGTGGAGCCTTCTTCAGGTGTGGAAACCAGAAGGTGTCTCACACCCAAGAAAGCCTCCACAATTGAAACACTGTTTCTTTTCTTCTCTTCTCAGCATGGAATAATCCTTTACTTGATCCTTTGCGGCCTATGCATGCTGATGTACTGTAGCTACCTACTTGAAGTACAATAAGGGGAGCAGGGCACAGGCTCCTGTCAAACTGAACTTTTAATGCATTCAAAATCACATTTCAAAAGTGTCACTGGTTCTTGTCTGAGCTCTAAGGTACACAATTATTACTTAGAAAAAATTAAGTAAATAATCTAGAGGAAGTAGGGGGAGCTGAGGCCTGCTCCTGCTGAATTCCATACATTTGTTTTGAATTGCCTATAGACTAACTCTTGGAAGCGCTTCTCTTCTTACTAATGAAGGATCTTTAATGCTGCTCAAACTGGGGGCAAGAGAAATGTGTTGATACAGTGACTTGAAAACCATAAAATGCACATTATCAAACATAATACAGTTCATAAATTAATAAAACAGTACTGTACATGCTGAAAATTGAGACAAGGGTGGCACAGCACTGAAACTGAAATACGTTTCCTAAAACAAAGATTAGAACTGTTTCATCCAGCTTACACGTTTTTGATGAATAAGAGCATTTTTGACGATTATAATTACTTTAAATGTGAAGTGGAATATTAGTATCTATCCATTTTCTAACTGCATTATCCAATTCAGGATTTCAAGAGAGCTGAGGCCTGGCAAGCAATAGGTGCAAGGCAAGATACAACGTGGAAGGGACACCAGTCCATCACAGGGCAGACACAGACACATGCGCTTTTACAACAGGCCCATTTTTTTCAGAAGCCAGTTAACCTATCAGCTTATGTTTGGACTGTAGGAGGAAACCAGAGTTCCCAGAGGAAACCCTTGTGAACATGTGGTGAACGTACAGTATAAAGTTCACACAGACAGTACCACAGGAAGTAAACCTAGGGCTCCAGCACCGCGAGGCAGCTCCACTGTGTAGCCCTAGAATACATCCATTATCATAAAATCACTTATTTCTTCTAAAGTTTGCACATGTAGGGGCTACATCCTAGAAAGGATGCCAGTCTACTGCAGGGCATGCACACAGACACAGGCATAATTAAGACACAAATCGAAGTAGAAACTCCCTACAAGTGCATTTAAAACTAAGAGGACAAGGCACCTCTTTATCCAAAGAAGTGTGGGAGTGAGTTACCCAGCCATGTGGTGGAAACTGATAGCTTTGCTTTCTTCAAAAAAAAAAACACGGTGATCTCGGACGCAACTTCAAAATAAAAAAATAGTCCAGTCATGTCGAGAACTACAATTCACACAGAACGTGTTCAAACCTTGGCTACAGCCTGTCATTAGTCAACTAAAGCTGGGGTTCCTTGAAGAGACACAGGGTGGCATGATAGCACAGTGTTTAGCATTGCTGCCTCAAAGCACTGTTCTCCCTGGGTATACATAAGTTTCCTGTGGGTGCTCAGGTTTCCTTCCACTATCCAAAGACTTCTGGAATGGCTTATGGGATAATCAGCCCCTGAACAAGTGTGTGCATGCCTGTGCGTACCCTGTAAAGGTCTTGCATCCTGTCCAAGGCATATCCTACCTTGCACCAGCTGTTTGCTGGGATAGGCTCCGGCTCCTCTGTGACCTCGGTTAGAAAATGGATGGAGAAAGAAAAGCAATTGAATGAATGTGGTTGTGAGTGGGTGCACTTGAGCCTGTGAAAACTTTCTAGATCCCTTGTGCCAAAGAGTCTCCAATTTCTTGGGTGTCTGAGGATATGCAGTGTTAACACCAAGAAACCCAGTCTTCCTCCTATCAGTGGTAGCTCTCCCGTCACAGGCTGTGAAACTCCGAGCAAGTCTAATCGTTAAATGGCTCTGATAGGCTGATAATTGCCCAGGATTTTGTCATGTGGTAAGAGGATAGTGAATCTGAGACAGGAAGGAGCCTGTGAGAACTTACATTAGCAAGAGCATGACACCAACCAATTTGACTTTCATGCATTTAAATCATTCTTAGGTGTTGTGCAAAGATCAGGCATTTTTTTCCCCAGTATGTATGTACAATATGTAACAGCATGTGAAGTGACAACCAAAAATACAGATTAAACAAATCCCCGAATAAGTTAAAACCACAAATGCAAAAATAAGAATTATAGATCTTTTATTGTCATGGATCTTTCTTGTAGATATCATGGCTATAGAGTTACAGTTTAGATACATATTTATGAGATTATACAGTTTTCATTACGAAGTCTGACATTGTACAAGTGATATGTTTGGTAATATTTATATCAAGTTTGGATTTTTTTTTGGAATGTACAGTATATGAGGTAACTGCAAACATTAAAATTACATAAAATTATTTCTTTCCCCAATGCAGCAAACTGCAAAAGGGGAATATCTGAATGGCACAACTTGCAATTACATTTTGCACTATCAAAAATAGGAATTTGAATTTTACTATGACAAACAGAAGCCATTTGCAGGGCAGCAGATTCATTGCAATATTATATTTTTTGTGTATTTTAAAGACATTTGACAAGGTACCAGCATTGTTAAAACTGCTGCAACAGCAAGTAACACATCGGCCAACAGCCAAGCACAACATCAACTCTGAAGGTCAGACAGCAAAACTGTGACAGGTTGCTGTTTGCGGTCAGTGAGAAAGAATGTAACACAAAAAGTGTCAAGTTCTGAATTTATAGGAAGTACGTGTAACAACATAGACAATTAACAGGCAAGAAACCATTATTATTATCCCCTCAGAAAATAATTAACTTAAAAATAATGCTGATGACGTTAAACAGGATGAATACTGAGTGCTAAATATGATTTCATAATTAAAAAGTGTTTTACACAAATCAATGAACACAAATATCACTAAAACAAAAGAGACAAAAATCTCAGAAAAATCTTCAGAAAATAAAAACAAGAAACAAAAGAAACTGAAACTGCAGAAGTGTACACAGATTATCACATTAAGTGTGAATTAATTCCAGGTAATTAAATTCTGGTAACCCTCATGTTAAGAGTCATTCAGACTGTTAAGCTTCCTAATGCAGTTTTAATTTTCAGACTTTGAAGATGAAAGATTTTGACAGGTACGATTCAGTGGTACAACATTGCAAAAAACTCACAATACACAGTTAGGGCTTTGCACACTGAAAGAAGTGTTCTAGAAACGCATCACAAACACCACATGCAGTCAGCCATTTTTTGTACAAGGTGCAAATTCTCTTTTTTTTTTTTCTCTTAAACTCAAGGGAGACTTCGACAAGCTTTTGCGCTGAACTCAAAAGTTTGGATTAAAGCAGCTACATGTTAAAAAATGCAAACTCCATTTTCCCTCTTATGCCCCCCCTTCACAAAGCCCTGATAAACAGGTCCATGTTTCTTACAAAAATATATCAAATATTACCTTTCACAGTCACGTTTGCATCCTCACACACTCTGGACTCAAAAGTATTCAAAAGTGCTAAATGAGTGTTATACAATACTAACAATAGATTAATATACCTATTTATTTGCTGTACACTTCATGGGTCTTCTGCTTTTCATCTTAAAAAAAGAAACTCCAGCTCTGGCACTTAAGAATAAAGAATTGCATGTCTACTCAGGCCATCACACTGATTTCACTGAATCTGGGCTGGCATCCTTTTTTACTTTACATGCTCACTGGCCACGGCGAAAGAGGATTCCTTGTTAAATTTCACAGGGGAAAATTAAAACAAATCTAAAAAAAACAAGGGAAAAAAAAAGAGAACAACGGTTTCTTCTCCTTTCGTCAATAAAAATTGACACACACAAAGAAAAACAAAATGGAATGGTGCTATTAACTGTCAACAAATTAAAAGAAATTCGGAAGGTGCAGTCGCTTAACTTTGCCTCGCAATGCAAATATCCACCCCCAAACCTGGGAAAGACTACCGAGTTTTAAAAAAGGTTCCTCTTCAAAAACTGCCAGGGCCCTCTACTGCACAATGCAAGCGCTATGTCTTCAGGAAAACAGTGGGGAAACGATGGCCTAGCATGCCTACACTGTGGCAAAGAGTGAATTTAACAGAAGTTGGAATCACAGTACAATGTTTTTAAAGCCGGGAGGGGTAAGAGAGAAGGGAAAGTGATTAAGGTCAAAGTTGTTTGTTTTTTGTTTTTTTGGTGGCGGGCACGTCACTTGATGACAAAGTACTGGATGACGAAGGCAATCAGGATGGATATGATCGCGAACAGCACGAGGATGACGGCCGCACACTGTTCATCACTCAGTGTGCGTTTGGTCCTCGCCACTTCCACAGTGTTCTTGGCGCCACTGGAAGGCAGGTCGCTCCTGGGCGAGGAGAAGGAGACGGTGGCGCTGTAGGGGCCTGCAAGCTCCTGGGGCCCCGAGGGAGATTGGCACTGGCGGATGGCGCAGGCCCGGAAACGGTATTCACAGTTCACCTGGAGCCCTGAAACGTGAAAGGACGTGGCCGGGCCTCTGTAGATCTGCAGAGGAAAAAGAATTCCAGCAAACTCAAATTTAATGACCCACTATATGGACCCTGAAGCAACAACATCATTCCTCAGCTGTTATACTGCCATTCATCACTGTTTGTGGCCCAACCAGATTTTGCAGGCTGTTAATTAGTTTGTATTGAGGGGTCTTAAAAGTTACCATAGAAAAATCCAAGATTAAACAAAACAGAAAAACAAAACTGCGTTAAAACTGGTATTGCATTATTTTATGCACATTTTCTTTAGCCATATTATATGGAATCAAATAAGTCCAAACTCAAACCTGAATTCTAGTCACATTTATTCGAGCTCTGGTGAGTTTAATCTGTCATGACATCCGAACAGTAAAAGATCCATCCATCCGCTTTTTAACTGCTTCATCCATGTCTAGGTTGCCAGGGAACCCATCAGACTGTGACAAATAATCACACCAGTGCCAATTCCCCCAGAACTGTGGGAGAAAACCAGAGCACCTGGAGGAAACCCACTCAAACATGGGGAGAACATACAAACTTTACACAGATAGCACTCCAAGAATTTAACCTAGGGCCTCATCACTGAGAGACAGCATAGAAAATGGATGGATTGATTTTGACCAAATGGCTATCCTTGTGGATCACTGCTAGTCCCAAATTAAGTGATGAGGACACTAAGGATTAAGCTCAGCACTTGTCATTGGACTCTTATCCTGGAACAGGCATGGCCTAAATCCAACTACCAGAAGAGTTAAATATTTAGATTGGTTTCATTGTAAGGATGTTCAAATGTCTTTACATTAGGAGATCAATCTTAAATTTAGATGCTTACAGATTTAAAAGGAAAAGTAATTTCTTGTGCACTGAATTAAAAAAGGGGATGCTTATAGTGGTACAAAAGAAGACAGAGACTTTATCATTCATTCCTGAGATGTATGTGAAGTTGCACAGTGCAGAAAAATGCTGGATTAAGCAACTAACATGGTAAACAGATTAACATTTAAACACAATGTTTAAACCTGAAGCAACACCAACAACACAAAGACTAACAATGTTCACCAACACTCCTGACCGGGATATCACAGGTCTAATTAAACTAAGATGAAGTTAAATTAAACTAAAGATTCTAAAGAAAGCTCAGTTGCCACAATGTTTCTTTTTTTCATCCTTTCAGCGTGGAATTATCTTATACTTGGTCCACTGCTTTGTTAATTTGACAGTGCCAGTAAACAACCTAGGGAAAAACGAAAAAGATCACATACAGTATGAATGAACAAATTTAGATGATCAAATGTTCTTCGAGTGTAACCTGCTTCAAAAACGGGATCTTAGCAACACTGCATAGCCACTAAGTGTAAAAAACTATTAAACAGCTGATACCCGATGAGTGAAGTCCTCGTCATTAGTTTTACATTTAGATAACTATTTTAATATTATTATATTAATATTAAATTCTGATCAAAATGTAGCCTGCCCAATAGATAATTCATGTAAAATCAAACACGCACGATAAAAAAGTCAACATCATATTCTGTATTACTACTGAGATTACAATTTCAATTCAACATTAATAATTTTATTATCCGGCTTAAACATTTCAAAAGTCAAAACCAAACAAAGGAGTTACAGAATTTCACACAGTCAGTGAGTACTGGTGACATATGCTAGGAAAGTAGGGCCCAAAGGCTAAAGTGCCCGAGGTCTCCATCAAAATGAAGTCAGCTCTGAAGATCTCCCCTAATTTCCATCAGATTCACAGAGAGAATAAGCTTGAAGTCCTCCAGTAAATGAAACTGAAGCAGACTGGACTAGATGATGTGTGCAGGCTATGTTTCATGGCAGGAAGTCAAAAAAATGGAAAATGAACACACCTCCTGCATTCAATTTTGGATTACCTACAACAAAATACATTTAATCTAATATTATTTATCCCAGTTTAATTTCATGAAGTATGGAACCAAGGGAGTTCAGTGCACAGACTTACAGTCTTGCAAGAGCTTTTGTGTATAATTAATAATTATTGCAGAGCTTTTCAGATAGTCAAATCTGAACTGACTTTACTTGAGGAAGGTTGTACATCAACTGTAATCATTAATGGTTACGTAGGCAGAACTGTCTCATTTCAAATGGGACCAACAATGGGAAACTCACTGGGTCAATTGGGGGGACATCAACTGAATGTCTTGGGAGCCCCACCTAAACATTTTCGCTTTCCCCTATATGGAATAATTTCCCCTTATTTAAAGGTTTTCAGGCCTTTATCAACCCACCCTGTTCAATCAGACATACAGTATTCATGCTGAACGAGTCAGTGATGTAAAAAAATGTTTTGGAACAAATTTATGCTGAGAGGCACTGGAACATGCTGTGCTTTTAATGCCTCTCAGCTTTCTGGATGGAACAGGAAATATATCTAGGAGTGGTAACAGGGACACTGTAGATCATTTGTTTTGTTGCTGAAGATACTATGTGCAAAAGGATGCATGCGCGTCTGTCCAAGACTAACCAGAGACTAGTAAAGCTGTGCTTACTAAACAAGTGTCCAAAGCACATTGATCAAAGGTGGATTTATCCAGAATGTTCCAAAAAAAAGTTCCAAGGACTGCTAAGACAGGTGATCAGCAGACATCCTCTGTGATTAAACAAATGTCATTTATTAACGAAGACTTCTGGACAAGAGCTGGAACAAATGCCGTTAAACAGACACAGCAACGCTGACAATAGTAGTAAACAGGACACCTTCGCCAGGGAAACGGAAGACAACATGAGCTAATGAAGCCCTTACACTCCATTGAGAAGAATGTGGGAGAAAGCGCTCACACACAAACCCTGGAAACTTCTAAGCAAATTTTACACGTGCAGGAAAAGGGGCTGTGGAAGAATAAACAGAAATAGCACAAGCCCATTTATGAAGTCAATCATTCAGGGACATACTCAAAGCAGGGTTTGAAAAACATGTAAACACCTGAAGCAGAGTGTAAATAATTAGCCGTCACCAGTATTAACACTTCAACTCCTAGTAGGAATGATAGTGATGCATTTCATTTGGAAGATTCAAGCAGAGATCCACTGTACTTGATCTGGTCATGAGAGAAAAAAAAACATTTTAATTGCAGCCAAAGGCTAGTGATTATTGAGGGCAGTGACTGCTGCTTTCATAAAATCATGAGTTTTGCAACTGACAGGAAGATTAAGAATTTAGTATAGATTTATGCCATATAAGGGGCTTTTGCTATTCATTGTGATTTGTATATCATCCACCTATATAAAAATACACCAAACACTGCCTGTTTTTCAGAAAAGTATTTTTTCACATGAATTCTGAGAGACACAGGGTCTTCTTTAGATTTGAAAATAAACATTTTCTTTTTTTCACTTCGAGTTATAGTATGGTTATATCTGCTCCTCAAAAGGAACCTTTTCCTTTACCCAAACCTTCAGTTCTATCCCACTAATGTACAGGTTACCACTTAGTTTCATATACAATAACATCACGACATCTGCAATTTTAACATTCGTGAATTTGCTTATTCAGTCTGTCCGACGGGGAGTGACGGAAAAAGAGCAGAGCTGAATGTTGATCTGATAAACAGACTAGTATCATAAGATGAATCTAGCAAATGAGTGAGCCTCTTCCTGCAACCTGCTCAAGTACCCACTACCCAGCATCTGCATCTTAGAGTAGTCTTGTGTTTGTATTGTAATGATGTCTGCGTCCACTACATGGAAAATAACAGACCAGAGACGATTTTACAGGCTCACTGACCGCTTTATTGTCCGTTTCACTACAGTGGGGTGTGCTAGGCAGAGAGTAAGTTCAGGGTATATGCAGAGAAGGTATTCATGTTATTTTACCTAATTTCTTTGAATTAGGGATTACTGTTGTTTCTTTTACTTGATCAGTGTTCTATAACTAGAAGACAATGCACTAGTACTTTAATTATCACGTAAGGTAGGATTACTCAACTTTAAGCCATACATGATATGTACTGTAGTACCATAGAACGATATGAGGTTATATGGACATTTTGCTAGTCGGTTTTCTGCATCTACTGTAAATCTGCGTCTGTACCTACATTGCAACAGAACAGGTTACTGTATCCTTTTATCTGAAGTGAGTTGCTAATAACACCTAGTGAGCTGCAGGAGGGAGGGAGGAGAACCACATTTTAAGCTAAGGTCTACAAAGGTTAAAAAATGAATTTCAAAGGACAGCAATTTCCAGCTCTAACTGTTTTAATATGAATTTCTGGATACATTTATAAAAGAACCCACAGAATAAAAAGGAGAATATCACTAATGGAATTCCACTTCATCTATCGTTGGTACACAGCATGAGGAACGGGCTACACTTCAGAGACGGAACCAGCAGGTAATAACTGCTATGCAAATGCAATGCTCATGTGCAGGAAACCGTGTTAATTCAGCCTTACTTTTCTGACGCTGGTTGCATGGACAAGCTGTGTGGAAATTTCCAATGAAATAATGAAAATAAATGAAAATGAAAACATGGGAGGCAATTTCAGAAACTACTGTGCTCATAATGGGGGCAATTACCTTGTTCACTTGCTTCTTTTCTTTTGAGCTTCATTGTTACTTAAAAGGCTTGTTTAAGCTTTTGAGAAAGAAAATAACTTTTGCAATGATTGCAATGAAAGTCCCTCATGTTTTAATTATTGTATACCATCTATCAGAGGGCAGATGAATAAAGAAAACGAACAGGCCGTTGTATGAATATGGTATTCAGATTCTTGTTGCCAGACACCAATCCGCTACTTGTGCTTTATTCTGAAAGCTAGAAGTGATACAAACAAAACAAATAGTCATGTTTGGTAAAAAAATATTTTTTCTAAACGATAAAAAGGGAACTGAAGCCAATTGAGCAAACGGAGGGCCCATTTTCCATACATTTGTTCTGGTTATGTGACTGAATACTCAGCTTCCAACATTTTCCAGTGGTCATAGTTGATTTGTTGAATGTATACCATATAGTATTTTCAAAAGTTGTCTACTTGT